TTTGCATGTTTTTAAACTAGGACAAAACAAAGGGTGTCTCATGATGAATTACTATGACCTTAATGCTGTGGTTCCATCCATTAGGATCCCTCCAATATCCAATATTATTAAAATTGCTGACTCCATCTAGTCCACAAGCAGTAAATATTTTGCTCTTATAGATTTGGCAAATATGGTCTGTTTAATGCCTATTTAACAGCCTCTCGGCTGCAGTCGAACATCACTTCTGATGGGACACAATACACCTTTTACAGGCTACCCATCAGGTACCTCAACAACTTTACCATCACACACAATCTCTGAGAACAAGATCTGAACTGGATCCACCTTTCTCCAGGAGCACAGTTATGACATAACATTGATGACATCCTTCTACAAGGAGATTCATGTGACACACTCATTAAGGACATATAAGTCCAACATCTTATAGTCCTCCTTGGGTTCTTGTGGCAACATATTCCTCATTTATAAATTTTGTTTAATGTCACTGATGCTGCCATTTATATATCAGCCCACCTTAAATGGGGCTCCCTCCAACAAATGACTCTAAAATATGTCCAAATTAAAATCAACAAGCACTCCTGTGAGTGCTTCAGAGACTCCTTCACTGTAGAGGCTTTGACAACCTCTTCCCACATCTTCTGGAGTCTGCACCACCTCTGATGGCCACTGGTTACTCAAGGGCTTCTGATGGAAGAAACTGACCCTCTCAGCCTCTTGCTATACATCACAAAAACAGCAATTACTGGCTATAATACTTGGCTTCCCTAAAAATAGAGGCTATCACAGACCTGAGCCTGTGACTCTCCTTTTGGTCAGGGAAACAGCACCCTACAAGCTTGGCATGGCTATTGAGGCCTCCTTAAGACAGAATAGAGCTAAATCTGGGCCTTCTGGCATATTTCACGTGCAGGAGGGTGTGACTTCTCCTGTCCTTAGTTAGGACAGCATGCCATGGCACTGGAGGAGGTCAACTCTTCCCTAAGACCACTTGGCTGCCTGGAAGATCCCTTGAGATTAACTGAGTGAACAGCAATGAGAATTTGTGGATTAAACAAATAACACTACAACCATCATACGTGATGGAGCTTGATAGACTGTTGCTACATTCCATCCCTTAGCCAAGATGTCTCTGATAATAAACAGGACCCAAGAAACAATACACTTAGCCAAACATCAGACACTCATTGTAGGACTGAATGCCCTGGCCAACAAATGGTGTCATCTTCACATTTATTATAAATGGATGGGCCATTGCCTAAAAATTTTCCCCTTCAAGGTAAAGGACTCTGGGAATCTCTTGCCTCACAGACACTCAAAATATAAATCAAAATCACACACATCTCTACATATAATAAGACCATAATACAAGGCCTTGCCAGGACACTCCTATTCCCTTTAGCATTATAAACATTGCTAATAATAACCAAGGTGCACATTTTACTTCTCAAAACACACAATATTGGACTCAGAAGAAACATTTAATAGAACTTTCATATCCCTAAATAGTCTCAAATAGCTGATTTAACTGAGAAAAATAATGATCTCCTCAAACAACTACTTTTAAAATTCGAGTCCAACAAATAGACCCCTAAATAAGTCTCTATCTTGCTCCAGGCTTTAACTTATCTTAATAAACTTTTGATTAGGCCCCAATCTTATAAAGGATGGAGACCAGAACAAGGGAGTCTATCATTTTGGGACCAATTAACCACTGAATGTCCCACTGGCCAAGAAGCTGCTCATCTGATATGGGACCCATTTGAACTTAAAATTCTATTAAAAAAAAATAAAACCTGTCAAGTGCAGCTGCACACCATTCTGTTGACTGTTGATCCTATTACTACTTAACCAGATGCTTTCATTGGTTTATAATCTGGAGGCCCAAACCCCCAGGTAAGCCATTGTTTCGATCAAACATGCCAAATGCTGAGACCCACATGAACTTGGGGGTGTATCCACTTGGAAAAGCCACCCTAGTCCACATTGTCCCAGTTCAAGGCCTCACCATTGAAGATGACCTTGTCCCTTGCACCAGAGACAACATCATCCTGGACACGAAAACCTCCACCACAGTGACACCCAAGGACCACATCTCCTAAGGCATAAACTGGACACAGGTCATTCCTTTATTTTTTTCCTTTAATATTAGGGGTTCTACTGTGTTTCCGAGCTTGCTGTCTGCCTAGCCCATGCTTCTTGTGTATTTCCTACTCTCAGCCAAACATGCCCCTACACTCCCAGGCCTAATGTGGAATCTGATAATGGTTAACATTATCTATGCCATTCTAAATGTTAATGGAGATTAGAGATTTCCCCAGGAGGCACCTGCGTCTTATCAGTCAACCCCTCCATCTCCTGAAGAGAGGACCCTTCACTCCCCAGTGCTTTCTCCTACTATAACTCTCCAGATATGCACCATGACTTCCTGCCCTGCATCTCTGACCATGACCACTCCTTCCCCTTAGTTATACACAAATACCACTAATCTTTACATGTTCTTTACTAAATTATCATCTTTTCTCCTCCCACAACATCACTGCTGGATCTTCCTCCTTTCCCTGAGAAATACACCAAAATATTATTACATAACTCATACTTTTAACACATTTTACAACTCCACCAAGACATTGTTAGATATCCCCAAAATTTCAGATCTATTTTCTTGGTTAATGCCATAAAATAGAAAACCTATAACTCCTAGCCTGCAAGGAGTCCTTTTATTTTTACTTGTGGTCCTTCTTTTTCTACTCTCAGAATAAATATTTTCTATGCTGGTTAGGGCAACTATACCCTATTCTCTAAAAGTCACCACTATTATCACCTCAAAGTCTCATTAAAATAATGCCAAATAGTCACAGGTTCAATTGTTCTAACTGTGCTTTCTTAGATTCTGTATTAGTCAAGTTGGCAGCCATTAATCATGGGCCAAACTAGGAGCTAATGTTGTTTACCTCTCCTGCAGGTCAGCTTCCTGGAGCACACCGTTCAAGTGCAGCCCAGCTGACCCAGGGCTGTGCCCCCACCACCTCCTTTATCTAACTCTCACACACCAAGTGAATGTTTCCTCTGCCCTAAATCAACCTGGGGCCAGGTACCAGATGACTAGGGACAGGCCATATGTCCCAAAGCCTATGGAAATTATTCAAACTAGCCAAACATAAGCTGTGTATCCTGCCTTGCCTTCCCCACAGAAGCCCCGATAGAGTCTGGGTCCTAGGCTTGCCGCTTCCTTCTGCTTCTCCTCATGCCCACCCCGGTCATCAGATACAGAGATATGTTCAGGGTGTGTTATTCCAGGGACTAAAGTGACAGTTTAACATTAGTCTGTGATGTGCTGATAAAATATTACAGGGATGGAAAGGACAAAAGCAGTAGAAATGAAGAGGAATATTTAAAATATTGCAGGGCCCAATATTAGTAATTATAGAAGTGTCAAGGCTGTTATGAATTCTTCAAACTTTCTGTCAACTGCATAAACTGATGCAAAAGAGGATATAGTATGTGGGTGATATGGGATTCATGAGGCAGCTTTTAAACTATTTTTTAAAAAGTACACACTTAGGGGCTAGCCCCGTGGCCTAGTGGTTGAGTTCAGCATGCTCCACTTTGGTGGCCCAGGTTCACTGGTTTGGATCCTAGGCATGGACCTACACCACTCATCAGCCATGCTGTTGTGGCAACCCACATACAAAGTAGAGGAGAATTGGCACAGATGTTAGCTCAGGGCTAATCTTTCTCAGAAACACAAAACAAGTATACACTTAATTTAAGGTGGTAAAGATTTCTGTTGCAAGCCAATTGACCACAAGAGGTAGAATCTCTTCTGAGTTATCAATACAAGCTTCAAGAATATTGCATTAAAAATAAAAGAATGGTCAAGTCAGTATCAGTTTTTTACCAGATTAATATTTAATGGAGATCATTACTTGTACTTTAGACCTGTGATATACAAATTAATAATCCTTATACTGATTTTAAATCTGTGGAAAATTAAGATAACATGAATGATAAAGTTCCCTCATGGACTGGTCCTTTAAAGTAAGCAAAAAATATTTATAAAATATGTTTATAGATACTTAAAAAACAACAAAGGAGGTAAATAAAAATAGATTTGATAATTTTGGAATTAAGTAAGATAAAAAGACATAATTTTGGTATTAAACTCTATTGGTATTTCAACACACATAATTACAGATGTTTGTACATAATGTATAGACTTGACTAAAGTTGCTGGAATATCAGATTACAAAAAATTGAATAAGACTTTTTAAAGCATAGAAGAGCACACTCAATTTTCTAGAGAGAAAGAGTCAGACCTTTAAAAAAGCAGCTTTTGGTGTTTGGAATTCAAGTCTTGAAATTTTTAATTTAGGTGAAAATAGCTGAGAAAAACAATCTGTAAATTTTTTAGATACTTAATGTCGCCCATTAGAAACTGATAATGTGTTTTCTTTGAGGGTCAATTAATACCCAACACCTATTTTAAAATTATTATGACCCATAGATTGCATCTGCAGAGGAAAATTGAAGTGTAAAACAGAGCAACCACTCAAAAATTCATAAGGATATTGATATTTTCAATGAATTTATTATTCTCCTATATTATTCAGACCTTCTGAATTTTTATGGTGAGGAAGATTGGCCCTGAGCTAACATCTGTGCCCGTCTTCCTCTTTTTGTATGTGGGATGCCGCCACAGCAAGGCTTGATGAGCGGTGTGTAGATCTGTACCTGGGATCCGAACCTGTGAACCCTGGGCCATTGAAGTGGAGGGCTCGAACTTAACCACTATGCTACCAGGCTGGCCCTCAGGTCTTCTGATTTTTATTGTTCTGTTTCACATGATTTTTTTAAAACTGAGTATTCAGTCATTCTTTTACTTTTTTTAAAATTTAAATGATAAGTGTTACAGTATTATTAGTAAAAACAAATAAAATTACTTTAATTAAATATTTTATACATACTTTGCAATAAGGAACACCGGTATTTTCACCCACCTGATTGAATCCCTTCACTCTCCTGTCATTTTTCTTGAACAAAAGTTCAGATTTCTTGGCCTGTCCTAAGTGATTCCCCAGAACAACCATCCCCTTCATTTCCTGCTGCTCTCCCATCTCTCATACTCCAAACATGAGCTTTGTCCCACTCCCATAAGGCTGCATGTCTTCTTTACATGGATCTTTCCAGGTGATTTCCTTCAGTCAAAAAGATGAACTCAATAATGCTTTGAAAATATATTTAAATAAAACAAAACAAACTAACACAAAACTTTCCTGAAGTCTCTACAAGACCGAAAGTGAAAGACTTCTCTGGTATCTTAAGCTCAGGAATTTCTTTCCACTACACTATTTTAAAATGTCGTAAACTTCTCCACTGAAGAACCTAACAGTTAGACTGAGGAATGTTTGTTTCTTTATGTACATGATGTTCATTTTTAGCTCTATAGTAAGATTGATGTAAACAGGGACATTACTGCCCTTATTTGCAATAGTGTCACACATTCCTGACATTTAAGAGGTCCTCAATATTAACTAATGTTGAAATCAATATCTGAATGCAATGAAGAGAACAGACTCATAGCAGATTAGGAAATACTGTCTTCCTTGTCCTACAGGCAAAGCAGAACCGAGAGACACGCGTGTCATTGATGATGAGCTCAAAGGGGCTGAATGTTGGAAAACATGAGGCCACGAGCACAGAGATGTTCACCATCCACTGGCCTTGATTTGCAACTAGAGTCATCCAAATAGTCAAAATAATGTAGATTGAATAGAATGTAACAAAAGAGCTCAGGAGAATCACAATGATGTGTGTGGCTCTGGCTTCATGGGAAGGTCTGGTGGAGAGTCTGTTGCTGCAAATGCATTGAATTCACTCTTTGTGTCTATGCAGGACAAGAACTACGGAGCTACTGGCCCAGACCATAAAGCCTAAACTCATAATGTCAGGGGAAAAATAGATGACCGTATATAATGAACCTACAAAAATCCTCTTTCATATGCCAAGAGCAGTACCCATAATCATTTTTCACATTCAAGTTCTTCACGTTCAATGGACCATTCACTATTATAGGAATACATGAATTTGTCAAGAGATGCAGGATCCAGCAAAGGAAACAGCAGAAGCCAATGAACTTTAGAGATCTAATCTTGAACTCCATCCATTGGCCATCCTGTGGCCACTCTGTGAAAATAGAAGACCAGTTTACAGCCAGCATCATCCAGGAAATATCTCCATCCAAAAGTGCCATTGTCTGAGGTACACCCTTAGAGAAAAGAACCATGGAGTTGGCCAAGCCCAGTTGCATGAGAATTGGGTCTGTAGGTCTCAGATTATGCCCAGAGTGCAAAGTGAAGTTATAAAGACAAAAAGTTGAGATATTTCCCACGAGGCCAACTCCTGTCTGAGTGAGGAAGATAATCCTCATTTCCAAGCTGGCAGAAAACATCACATCAGTACCTAGAGGACAGGTATTGAATGAACAATTAAACAAACAACAATAAATATGTCACCATCACCATGTCCCTCAATTTCCAATACTTAGCCTACATCTCATATAGCCTCACTTTAAGTGGGCATTTAGAACTTTTGCTCATGTGTGCAAAGGCAATGCAGTGAAGATCAGGACTGTAAAAAGCCTCAGTATCCACCTACAGCGAGAATGGAGATGGCACGACTGCACCACAGGGTTCTCCACAGCTGTGGCGATGAGTGAAGGAGATCTCTGCACAGATACAGATTTTCCCCATGATGTGTTCTTACACGAAAAAGGCAAGATACAGAATACGTGTAGAGTATGTTTCCTTTTATTTTTTTTTAAGAAAGTAGAGGACTATAAATATAGGGGCAGAGATTGAACAGGATGGAAGGATAGAAATGTAAACTAGGCTTCATGTAGTAGTCTGTTACATTTTGGTTTATACAAATGTAAACATATCACATAATTCTTGAAAAATATTAATCAAAATCAGATATCAAAATCCACAAAATTCAAAGTTAAATGAAAAAATTACCCTTATTGTCTACCAGCATGGTGTTCTATGCGTACTTGTAACAAAAATTTCAAGTTACACAGAGGCACATATGAAAGCAAAAATACCCAACAGATATTGAACTGTTGCCCATACTCATATTTTGCAAATTATACTGGCATTAATTATTAGAAACATATAAAAAAAAGTCCATTAATATAATTGGTAAACAAAACTTTCAGTATAAGCCAAAAGAATATATATATATATATATTTTAAATAAAAACTCAAAACTTGGTTAATTTTGGAAGAAATAATGCATGTAGCATATAATTTTAAAACACATATGTCAGGCCAGCTCCAGTAGCCTAGTGGTTAAGTTTGGCACGCTCGGCTTCGGCAGCCCAGGTTCAGTTCCCGGGCATGGACTTACACTGCTGGTTGGCGGCCACAGCGTGGCGGCCCACATACAACATAGAGGAAGATTTGCCATAGGTGTTAGCTCAGGGCGAATCTTCCTTAAGCAAAAAGAGGAGGATTGGTGATGGATGTTAGCTCAGGGTGAATCTTCCTCAACAAAAAACACCCCCCAAAAACAAAAAAAAACACATATGTATTCCCTATTTCTTTTCATTGACAGAATCTAGACGTCGTAAACAAGTCCATAGTAATGACCATCTAAAGTACCAAGATTATGATATCCAAATGACATTTCTCACTAATAGAAAGCAAACTATCTTGAAGTTAAGTGATGCTTCTCAGTGTGGGGCAGAAAACATCTAAGATGTCCCTAAATCTTCTAGTCAAGCGTAATAGTTAGCCACATGTTTCTTTAAATAAGCTTTTTATTTTTCTGGATGTGGGAGATAGAATGAGCCTTCCTTTTCCCTAAATAAATGTTAACATTCTTCTAATAAGAACAGAACTTTAAATGCATATTGTTACAGACTCCATTTAGCCCAACATACTCTCTCCCCAACCAAAGCAAAGACAAATGCACATACCGGCCTCTGTCACTCAGATACCAGATGTCGGCTCAGCAGCGGGGAGCTCATTTTCTCTGTCTTATTGCTTCTGACTTGCCTGTAGCATGAAGACTTGAGAGTGAAAACTCTGAGGTCCCCTGTGTTTAGTCAGGACAAAGGAGAGGCGATTTCAGAGAGGGCTGGAACAGGAAGGAGAGAAGAGCAATGGCTGGCAGTCTCAATACGGGCGAATGAGGGAGACAATATGCCAAGGGTTTCCTAAAAAAAAAATGCTTGCCTGAGCACACCTGTGTATGCGCGTGTGTCTGTATCTATGTTTATAGTTTTACGTTCCAATCCAAAAACACAGGATTATTTTTCCATATGTATGACTGAATTTTCCTCATGAAGTCCATCTCCAAATCTGATACTCATCTGAAAAGACTCTCTGCTTACCTGATTGGCATTTGCTGTTGGGGTAGTGGGTGCCTGGCAGCTCCTGTGCCGATGTAGAAAGGGCAGCTCAACCATGAGATGAAGGTTTGGGTTCCATGATCTCATCTCCCTGTTGGGAAGTGATTATCATTTTACCTGTAAGTGCAGTGATAGTGTCTGCATGGGGACTGGAGATTATCTCTGAAAAACATTTGTAAATTGTGCAAATTACAGAAAGCTATTAAAGTGAATAATAAAAATATCCAACAGACGCGGCAGAAACAGATGAGTGAGACCACACATTTGAAATAAGCAATAACCCCAGTGGAAGTTAAGTAGAGGACACTGAGATGGAATAAGTGAGAGACATCAAGCACATCGCTCTGCTGCATTTGAAATCACCTTAGTGGTTTTGTCTTCAAAATATGATTCTTTTTTTGTTCCTGAGATTCTGAGGGTACTGAAACTGAAGGCAGGACAGTATCTGAATAGTTAGGAGTAGCTGCAGTGGTTCAAAGAGATAGGAAGATTACAGTGATATATCAATTCAGTGCTTCAAGAAATATTTGTTTTAGAGCTTATGTGGGTCATGGACTTTTCTGGGTACAGGGGATGTATCAGTACACAGAACGTTATAGCAAAATGATTTTGCCCCCATGGAACTTTTATTCTGCTTGAGGGAAACAGACAATAGGTGATGCACCCAAGTTATTATGTGGTACATTATTAGAAGCTGCTCGGTTCTATGGAAAAGAGAAAAGAATAGAACATAGATGTAGCAAAACATGAGAGGAGGCATGGGTTACAAAATGGAATAGGAAGTTCACAGTAGGACTTAAAGTGATGATCCTATTTTAGAAAATGCTTTAATAAGATGAGGTTTATTCCTTCTTTTCCAATCCATATCTATGTTTATTTTGTCTTGTTATCTACTAAATAGTCCTTACGGCATAAAATTGAAGGACAATAGATAACCGTGATAGTTCTTTCATCCCTGAACTTAGGTGAAATATTTTAAAAATGGATCCTACGTTTGGTGGCTGTGGTGGGGCTTTTGTTGCTCATCTGATACTTATTAGAAGTTTAAGGAGGATCCTTTCTGTTTCTAGTTTGTTTTTAAAATGTCAAGAAGGTTTTAAATTACACCAAGTTATTTGATTCATTGGAGTTGATTATATGATAGATCTTGTTTCCTACTAAGCGTGAAACACATGAAATCATTTTTGTATTTTAAAAATTTTGATATAATTTCAAACTTATAGAAAAGCTGCAAGAGTTTTAAAAGATACACTTGTAAGCCCTTTATCCAAATTTAACAACTGTTTATCTTTTGCTCTGTTACTTTTTCCTCTTTCGTCTCTCTCTCTCGTTCTCTCTCTTTCTCTACAGAAATACATCTCAGACATGTATGTGTATGTTTATACACACACACACACACATATATATTTCTGAACAATTGGTGTATAATTTGGAAATATTTTTCCTACTTACCAGTGAATATTTCAGTGCATAATTCCTGAAAGCCCAGAAATTTCCCTGTATATAAGCAGAGTACTATAACAAAATCAGGAATTTCAATATTGGCACAATACTATTATTTAAACAACAGTACATAATACATTGCCATCATTTGTTCCAGTATTGCCCTTCTTAAGTTTTTTCCTTTGTGCAGAACCAAATTCAAATTCATGTATATCGTTTAGTTTTCACATCTCTTTAGACTCCTTTGATAAAATAGTTCCT